CAGCTTTTCTGCTGGGTGTCTGGGCATACCCATTTCTCTTTCCTATGCCTGTCTTCAGGGTAACTCAGAGGCTGATAGTGCTAAATAAATTGTTATTCTCTATCCAAGCAAAGAATGTTGGCTTAATCCTTGTCTCTAACGGCTCCTCATTATGCTTCATGACACTCATAATACCCCTATGTGAAAATAAGAATAAGGGAAGTGTCATTGCAAAACAAGTAAACCGGAATTCAGAGCTGAGTACTTTTTTCCCCTGAAGATTAAAAGAAAATAATAATCCAGGTGTGGTGGTGCATGCCTTTAATCCCAGCACGCAGTGGCAGAGGCAGGTGGATCTCTGTGACTTTGAAGCCAGGCTGGTCTACAAATCGAGTTCCTGGACAGCTAAGGCTACATACTCTGTCTTGAAAAACAAAATGAAATGAAACAACAGCAACAACAAACAACCAAAAACAAAAAAAGTAAAATAAAAGTTTCCAAATATTCAAAAACTTAAAAATGTCAACCCTTTCATACAAAATATGGAAAGGTTTTGGAATTCTAGAATGGCATGACAGGATTCATATAACTTGTGTTACCCACGCCAGTGAATAAAATACATTTATTTTTTCATGTTGCAAGTCTTTGGGTATGTTTAAAAGATGACCAAGGCAGATTTGTTGTCAAAGCTTGATGTGGTTTTGATGGCCATATCTGGAAAGCAGCCCAGCATATGGGGCTTGAGGATGGAACTTTTCCTTGGAGATTGTTGGACTGTAAGGTCTCAGAGCTAAGCTTCTCTGCAGCTTTTCCTTTTTGGTCTTCAGAGAACTTTCATAGGTGTAGGGCTGGGAGGTTGCCAATGGTCTAGCTCCAGTGAGCTCTAGAAAAAGAGAAAATAAGACAGCAGTGCTTTATATCTCAAGCAACTTACCACAAGAAGAAACTGTTCTTATCTGTGTCACAGTTTTCAATGGGGTAGGTGCATATTTTAGCATATAAATGTTTCACAGGCCTCAAAAGTTATGATAGTTCATAATCAAAAGCAGGGATCAACAATCAACAAACTGTTGAGCAGTGCCTCTTCTTGATTCTCGTGTCTTATGGTTTCTTCATAATCACCCAGCTGTGCAGTTGTACAGAGAAAGCAGCCATAGACACTATGGCATAAATGGGTGTGTGGCTTACCAATAAAACTTTATTGATGAAAGAACAGGTGATACCTGAGCTTGGCCCAAGGGCTATAATTTATCAGCCCTGATTAAAGGATGAAGCACTGATTTATAATTTTGAAAATAAATAAGTATAGGTCATAAAGACTTGCCTAGGAAATAAGAAAATTTTATAGTACTAATTCTATGTAATTATATTAATAACATAGATAGCTAGATTCATTTCATTCACTCCAGAATATGGTGGGTTTTAATTTCACTATCTTTTAAATGAATTTTTAGACGATAACATGTGAAATAAGGGGACTCATTGGAGCATTTTCATGCATACTTTGTTCATGTTCAATGCCCACTCTCCTGTTCTTTTGCTCGTCTGTCTTCCCCGCAGAGGGCCTCCTTCTGCTTTTATGTCATATTCTGCCTTTTTTTCTCTTTCCTCTTTTCTTCTCACCTCCCTTAACATGGATTTTTATCCCCTGCCATTGTCTCTTTTTGAGTTTTTACACACACACACACACACACACACACACACACACACACACACACACACAAACACACACACACACACACACAAACACACACACACACACACACACTCACCATGGGAGTAGGGGAGGAAGCTAGAGACAGAAAGAGGAGGGAGACTAAAGAGGGAGAGAGAGAGAGAGAGAGAGAGAGAGAGAGAGAGAGAGAGAGAGAAATATGTGTTATTTGATAAAATTATTGCTTAAATAAAAGTGACACAATTTGGGTAGGGGACAGTAGACCTATGTCCTAACACAAAATCTCACAAACAGACATTTAAAACCATAATGAAATTATCAGATTTAATTTACACAAATAGACTATGTTCTTGAAAAAGTGAAAGTAGAATTTAATATTTTATACTTGTAGTCCTTGTAATTACAAGGAAGTCTCACTGAATAGAAATACAGTATTCTTTACAGTTATAAATGGAAGTCAGAGAGCGAATGTCCCATGATTGTTCTAAAAACGTGACTTGTTCCCAAACCCCTATGGGTGTATGTAGAAAACTTGGCTGTTTCAGTTATTTCTTGTCAGCTTTTTGCATAGAGAGGGTGTGGAAAGCTATTCAATTCATCCCGCCTTGCTCCTTGAAGATGAGGAGCTATATAAGCTGTTGTCTAAGCTTTGCTTTATACATCAGTCATGTCCATAACTTGCATGTTGGCAGCAGCCACTGTCTAAACAATTGAATAAGTGTATATGAACTGGCTTTGAGTCTGCATAACAGATAGGCTGTTTATTTTATATAGGCTCAGGAGCCTTAAAGGGGGGTATGGAAAAAACTGTAAACTAAAATGTAAAAGGATAGTTTGGGAAAGAGCATTATTCAGGAGGCAAAATGCAAGTCAAGGTAAAGGAAATTTTAAGTCTCATAATGTGTAACACACACACACACACACACACACACACACACATTTGTTCTACAGTTTTTTGTGGGCACACATGCTTCTTCTCTTTTTAGGTCTCATCATGATGCACTGAAGGTGCTGTCTAGAGCTTGTGTATCCAATCTCACTGCCAAGCTAGGTGTGGCTAGGGTGGACATTAAGGTTTTTGCACATTGCTGAAGTGAGGTTCTTGGTTTATTGCAGGATATTAGTCAGTGGTCAGCCTCAGTTTCTTGCCATAAAGTCCTTTCTGTGGAATAGTTCATTGCATGGTATTTTGCTGCATTATAGCCCACAAGGTAATGGGCCTGCTAACAAGATAAAAATGACAGTCATACATAATGTAAATAAACACATCTTACTGCTTTTGTTCCATGTGATTGGCTGTAAGTTCATTCTCTTTGAAGAGGATTATCATACTCAGGTGTGACCATTAACAGATAGGCATCCTGAAAGCCACCACAGAGTCTATCTATCATAGGTTCCAGGATAGAATGCTGGGTTGACTACCAGCTCCACTACCTTGCTAAGTCCCTTGCTTAATAGATAAAAATAGTGACATAATGATTTTCCATCACATGGGATTTTTTAATTAATTAATTAATTTTTTATTTTAAATGTTGATCCCAGTTCCCTCTCCCTCGCTCCCTCCCTCTCTCCCTCTTACCCTCTCTGTTCCCCCACACGCACCCTGACTACCTTCTTCTCCCATCCTCCCACCCCAATTCCACACGTAGTGCAATGCCATCCAGGTGGGGTCATATAAATCTGTCAAGTCATTTGAAGTAGGGTCTAAGACTTCTCTCCTGTCTCTAGGTTAAGGCAGTATCCCTCCATGGGGGGATGTGTGCGCAAGGTCCTTTTGTGCACCAGGAATACATCCTGGTTACACTGTCTGAGGTCCCTTAGACTGCTCAGTCCTTCTAGCTGAGACCCATATTCAGGAGGGCCTGAGTCAGTCCCATGCTGGATTGCCAGCTATCAGTCTGGGGGACCCATTAGTTCCTCCTTGTTCAGGTCAGCTGTCTCTATGTGTTTCTGCAACCTTGTCTTGTCCTCTCCCTCTGCATCTGGATTCTAGGTCCACTTAGTATTTAGTTATGGGTGTTTGCTTCTATTTCCATCAGGTACTAGATGAGGGCTCCATGATGGTGGCTAAGTTAGTTACTGATCTCACTATCTGGGAAGGGCATTTATGGTAGCCTTTCCCCAGTTGCTCAAATTGTTAGTTGGCGGCAGTCTTGTAGGTCTCTAGACCTTTCTTTAGGTTCAGTTTTCTCTTCAAACCAATAATGGCTTCCTCTTTTATGGCAAATTGTTTTTCAACACATTCTACAGATATCCAACTTTACCTACTTCAAGATTACTTAAGTCTTATCTCCTCTATGAATACTTGAACAAATGTAGGCTTCTGTTTCATATTCACCTTCTTATTACAGAAACAGATATTCATTTGTGGTTTATGTTATTATAGATTTGTGTTTTGTTGAGAAATCATCCTTGATACATATCCTACTCATCTGATACAATTCTAAGCAACTTAACAATGATGTGTCAGGTGCTCTGGGAAGCACTTTGCTTTGTGTTGATTGTTATAATCCTTACAAGAATCCTGTAGTCACAATCACATCATTAGTATTGCTTAATTTTGTAAAAGAGTATTTGCCCCTAATCACACAGATAGCCAGAAGTGTCTGACTTCAGGAGTGGAGTCTACATGGCATCTCTTTTATGTGTTTCAAAGCAATATCATGTAGAAAGCAGTTGTTCCTTTTATTCTTTGACAAATGGAAGTGACATTGTGCATTGAGAGAAGACTGTGTTAGAGAAGTCTGGAGAAGTCCACCCTGCTTATTGTCAAGACTGGGCTGCTTCAAGGAGGCAGGTGGATACCAGAATCATCACCTGTTTTGTGACTCCTGTTGCTGTCAGAAAATCATCACCCTACCAAATGGCCCTGCTCCAGGAATCTTTCCTTTGAGATCCCAATGCAAGGACAAAATTCCTTCACTAAACCATGGCACCCAGGAGCTCTCTTTGATCTGGTCTCATTTCTCATGGTTCCGGTGGTCACAAGGGACTGTATTCCCATTGTGTCTGTCTACTCTGAGATCTTCAAGGTTCTCCTTTTAGCCCATTCATCCCTGAATCTTTAGCCAACTTATCCACATCATAGCACCAAGGCCATTAGTTCCAGGGCCTCACAGTGTGAATTATCTGTGAGAATTTACTTCCAGTTCTTGGGACAGGACCCTTGGGAAAACTAGGCACTGGGCCAGAAAGAAAGTGGCCCAAGAGTGGCCTGATTACTTTTAACCTAAACCTTGACCCTCAGCAAAGTAAGGGACTAAGCCATGCAGGAAGTAGTAGATGTTTCACCAGATGTTCTTTGGACTATATCTTCTGTCCAACTTTATTTTATTTATTTTTTCAGAATGAGGCTGCTGCCAAATGGTCTGCCTTTTATGAAGAGCAGTCTAAGCTTGCCAAAAATTACCCACTACAAGAAGTTCAGAATCTCACCATCAAGCGTCAACTGCAGGCCCTTCAGCAGAGTGGGTCTTCAGCACTCTCAGCGGACAAGAACAAGCAGGTGTGTTTGTGAACATATTAGTTCTGCTCTCAAGAGTTGAAATGTGTGAGAAGTAATATAAACTCTCAGCTCATATGAATGAGCTATCTGTAAAGATAGTAATGCTAGCTCTGGGCCTAGGTAAGGTGACTATAGTATTTATGATCCAAATTAAAATCTTTTTGAGGGTGAAAGAAGTCACTTGGGTTCTGATCAGCACAAAAATAAGCAGGTATATGACATTTTGCTCACTGTGGTCTGCATTGACTGAGCCAGTCTAGAAGTATACTAGAGCAACATTCTTTCTTTGTTGTTTGTCTGTTCTTATTGCTGGATGCCTTGGTTAGATAATATCAAGCTCACTCTTCATAAAGCCCCCAATCTTTTGTGTCAAAATAGCTGTAAAAACAGAACATTAAAAAAGAAAAACATCCAATGCTGAGATGATTTCAAGAATTCTTATATTTACCCTGTTAAAATACCATCTCTCATCCCATGCCCCCAGTCCAGGGGCCAGCAAACTTGAAAGCAAGCTGTAAAGAGACATAAAATAAATATCTTAGGTTTTGCAGGCCATATTGTCTGTGTCACAACAAGTCAGCTCTGCCATCAGAGCAGGAAGTCAGCCATAGATAATACATAGATGAATGGATGTGGCTGTCTTCCAACAAAGCTTTATGAAAACACACAGAAGACCCCTGATATAGCCTATTGAAATATTTTTATCTAAAACATGCAGCTCTTTCACATCAAAGTTTCCTTTCTCAGTTGCTTGTCCTCTGGAACTATGTATGTCTTAATCTGCATTTATAAAAATAAAAGTTCATGATAAGAACAGAGATAAAGCCATATGGTATTTGTTCCTACAAGTTGATATTTATTATTCTACATTCCTTGGATATAATTATTCCACCAAGTTATTAATCTACCTTATCTTGTCTTGTCCATGTTTCTCCATCTATTTTTTTTTAAACAAGGACTCCATGAGAAATCTTGCCCATCTGAATGTAGACAGCCTACTCTAGTCTATGTGGATCCTAGATATTTTTGTTTTGAAAGAGCCTCCAAATAATTACAGTGTATAGCCAGGATTGAAAGCCACTAAAGTGCATGTAAGAGCTTTAATTGTGTGAGAACAGGGTGTGTGGAGAGGAAGGGGCGGGGAGGTTGAAATAGCAGATAGAGAAAGAGACCATGAAAAAAAAAGACCATTTCTTGTGGAAATTTTAAGTATGGGCTTTACCTATTGTTCTCAAGACAAAGATTTTGTAGCAGAGTAAAATAATAAGACATGAGTGTGTTAGGAGATATCTAGCATTTTAATGATTGGTGTGAAAGAATCAGTCTTCCCTTCCTTTCTCTTTCCTTGCTTCCCTCCTCTTTGATTTCTTTCTCCTTTTTTCCTGTGTTTCGAGCCCACCATGGAGCAACTCATGGGTAAGTTCATTGGTTTCATGCTTAGATATATAGATATATAGAAGTTTATTCTCTCCATTCCTGTATTTATCTTGGAGTAGAATTAAAACTTTTGCTGACTTGCACCTACTGATACCCTTGAGCAGGTCAGCTTTATCCAGTATCTTCACTCCTCTCTACCTACAGGGTAAAGTTTAAATTCCTTATTGTGGCATAGATTGCCCTTTGTGATCTGGATCCCACATATCTCTCCATTCTTGTGGCCTCCAGTCCCTTCAATGAGCACTGTCACTAATAATACCACCACTTGTTAAAAAAGATTCACCTTTCACATTTTAGGGTGTGCCTTCTCCTTTGTTTTTTTCTGACCAATTTCTACTTCTGGAACATTCAACTCTTAGGACCCTACCTCTATGAAGCCATTTCTAAATCTTCAGGTTACAAGTCCCTCTTATTCTACCCTTCCCCATGCCTTAGCTAGCATTGACACATCACTTTCTGGTGACAGTTCCAGTTTCTGGCACTCCCATTTGTTGTGATCTATTTTGTGACCATCTTATTCCATGACTTGGGGGACTTTGAAGGTCAGAGACTTGTTTGGTTCAGAATTATCAGAACATTGGACATAGTGGAGTCTTACTTAGTAAATGCTAAAAGAAACAGAAGCACAATCTCTGGGTGTATGTGAGAAATATGCCGGGGAGTTTGGGGAGACATGTTTATTTTATTTGATCTATATGTATTTATCTCAAGTTCTCAAGATTCTGTGCTAGTTGACAGCACAGACAATTACATAAGATATTTGTTCTCTATACATAGGATCATGCTTTTCAAATAAGATATGTGTTGCTATATTTTTGAGACATTTAAAAATCCCATGACCATGTGAGCTCATGAGCTCACAGAGACTAAAGCAGCAAACACAGGGTCAACATGTGTCTGCACCAGGCCCTCTGAGTTACATATTATGGCTTTTAGCTTAGTATTTTTATGGGACTTCTGAGCGTGAGAACTAATGGGCCCCTGATTCCTGTGCCTGCTCTTGGGACTCCTTCCCTCTTGTTGGGTTGCCATGTCCAGCTTCGATACAGTAGTTTCTGCTACATTTTATTTTGTCTTCTTTGCTTGTTATCTCTTAGAAGCCAGTTCTTTTCTAATGAGAGACAGAAAGGGGATGGAGCTAGAGGAGAGGAGAAGTGGGGAGGAACTGGGAGGAGTAGAGGGACAGGGAACTATAATCAGGATATATTGTATAAGAAAACTATCTTAAGTAAAAGTGAAAAAACCCAATGACCAAAAGGATATCTTTATGCCACCATCCATTATAGTAATTTTTCATGTGTATCACTGTTTATTATGTTTAATTGCAGTTGAACACAATTCTAAACACTATGAGCACCATTTATAGTACTGGAAAAGTTTGCAACCCAAAGAATCCACAAGAATGCTTATTACTTGAACCAGGTAGGTTATTTGTTTTCAGTAGTAGTTATAAAATGTATATTTTCTTCCAAATTTTAAAAATGAGATAGAGTATTTTCATGTGTGGTGTCTATTCATGCGTGTACAGGTATAGATGTATGCACAAGTGCACATGGTTGTAGAGGTCAGATGACAGCTTCAACTGTCATTTAACAGTTTTATTTTAGACAGGGTCTCTCACTGGTTGGGAACTCACCAAGTAGATATTGTGGTTTGTCAGCAAGCCCAAAGGATTTCCAGGTTTTTGTTTCTTCAGGGCTGGAATTACAAGGGTATACTACCACACCTGACTTTTAATGTGAGTTCTGGGTATTGAACACAGACCCTCATGCTTGTACAACAAGCACTTTCTGGGGCTGAGTCATTTCCCCAGCGTGAGATAGACCTTTGACAATGGCACAAGGTTTTGCAGTTGGATAATCAAAAGTTGATACCATTCCAAAGTGTTTCAATTCAGAGTCTCCTTTTAAAAATACGTGTATGTGTGAATGTGTGTGTGTGTGTTATACATAGTGTACATGTGTGTATGCAGATGTGTATGCCCATGTGCTTTTAGAAGTCAGAGGAAGATGTTGGGTGTCCTGTTCTATTACTTTCTGCCTTATTCCCATGAGACAAGCTCTCTCACTGAGCCTGGAGCCAAACTGGCAGGCAGCAAGCCCCATCAATCCTTCTGTCTCTGTCCCTCTCAGCACTGGGGTTGCAGTTGCATGCCTGGCCATGTCTAGCTTCATGTGTTTGTTTTTGAAATTGTAATCCAATTGCAACATTTCTTCTTTCCTCCCTTTAAACCTTCCACAGACCCTCCCCTCTCTTCTTCAACATCCACCTTTTTTTACACAGATCTGGGGATTTAGACTCAGGTCCTCCTATATGTGAGCCATCACTCTTGTTCTCTGAGCCATAACTACAGCCCTTCAGAGATACACTTTTAACTTAAAAAAATCACACTGTATAGTCTATGACATTCAAGTAACTTAATTCAGTAATTAAATTACTTTAGTGCTTTTTTCCCCACTCTGTAGATGCATGGATCTAATACTAAGTACAAGGATACTAACCATGACATTTTATTTTAATGACCTGGATGTCTGCCAACGTTTTAATGCTTTAAAGTCTCAATATATGTAAATACAAGTTATTTGTATTATAAATACAAACACTTCACATTCGTGTTTATTTTCCTTTGGGACAACAGGTTTGGATGACATAATGGCAACAAGCACAGACTACAATGAGAGGCTCTGGGCTTGGGAAGGCTGGAGAGCTGAGGTAGGCAAGCAGCTGAGGCCATTGTATGAGGAATATGTGGTCCTGAAAAATGAGATGGCAAGAGCAAACAGTAAGTTCACTGCTTTGTCTAGGTCCTTACGCATTCCATGGGGAGGGTGTTATAGTACTATTTCTCATTTAGTACTGAGATTTCCCTGTAATATTTGCATGCCCCTAAATTAACAATCATTTACTTAAAGGTTCAGGTTACTTGACCCAAGGAGCCACTGGGACATTTAAAAAGGGGCATTGTAACTCTATTGTTCAAAGGGCTTATGGGTGAGTTTCAACTATGGGATCTCAAATGAATTATCTAGGGTTTATGAATTCTTAATTATGTATGGAGGCCTAAGGCCCTCAAGGGTATCTAAGGAGATATGATTTTCTGGTAAACTGTTTTTAGGCTTGTTTATTTGATAATAGTCCTTCTGTTTAGGACAATGTCACCAGCACGGCCATTTTTTTTGGGGGGGGAGGAAGGAGAGCTTTAGACATAATACTTAGGATGGATAAAGTTAAAGGTCACATGTACAATATGGGGACTACAATGAAAAATAGCCTACAGTTTTCCTAAATGAACACATTATCATTGCTTTTGTCAAGGCAAAAAATGGGTTAACTGTGTGAGATGTTAATTTGTGTCCCTATAATAAGCATTTTGCTAATATGTAGCATAACAACATGTTGTATGACCTGAAAAATACAAACTAGATTTTATTTCTAAAAACTCAGAGGTTGTGCATGTCTTGTGCAAACAACCGCAGTTACTGTGAGTTCATGAGAACAATAGAACTGTCATGTCCAGAAATCATGGTTTCACTCCAGTCCTCCCTGACCTCTGGCTCCTAAAATGTAATTCAGCCTACTCTTCTGAAGTGGCTTCTGAGCCTTGGATCTGGAACCAGCTAGAGAAAGGAGTGGGGGATGGATATGGTGAAATGGATTGTGTGACTTTTCAAGGAATTAATAGACTATATTTAAAAAGCACATGTTGTCAATCAGCAAAATGGGCTACAAAATGGTCACAATATCATATGGTTTCTGTGCGTATTAAACCAGACAATCTATTTAAAGTACCAAAGAACAACTGCTTAATGGAATTTTAGGTCTTGTCTTTCATTTGCATGCTTTTGAGTTGACATCTAGAAGGGCAACAAAAAAATGTGATAGTCTTTCATATCTTTTTTTTTTCACTCTCCCATCAAGACTAACCTAGGTAAACTGTATTTCCCTCTTTTTATTTCCTTAATTCTCCCCTCTTTTCCTTAAAAAAAAAAAAAAACCCCAACAGATTATGAAGACTATGGAGATTACTGGCGAGGGGATTATGAAGCAGAGGGAGCAAATGGCTACAACTATAACGGCAACCAGTTGATTGAAGACGTGGAACGTACCTTCAAAGAGGTAACAGGAACTGTGGGGCAGTAAACAGGCAGCCCCCCCCCAATTACCAGTAGCCAAAGGCTATTGTTTTTATTATTCTTTTGCTTTGTTTTGTTTTGTGTTTTTGAGACATAGTCTCTTTACATAGCCCTGGCTGTCCAGGAACTCACTATGTAGTCCTGGCTGTCCTTGAACTCACTATGTAGTTCAGGCTGGCCTCAAACTCACAGAAATCCATCGGTTTCTGCCTCCCAAATGCTGGGTTTAAAGGTGTGTGTCACTGTGCCAAGTGAGAGCTATTATTTTTAACATGCAGACTGGCCATTTCCAGTTCTCACAGAATTATGGCGTATTAGAGTTTGTAAAGATTTTTGAGACATGGTTTAACGAATCTCAGCCTGGCCTCTAACTTGCAGGGAAGCTAAGCATGACCTTGAACTCCTGATCCCTTCTTTCTCCTCCTGAGTTGGGATGACAGGTAGGTGTACACCACCATGCCAGGTTTATGCAGGGCTGAGCATTGAACTCAGAGCTTTGGTGCATTCTAGGCAAGCACTCTACTACAACTTCAGCCATTAGAAAATATTTTTGAGAAAACTCTGAGCAGCTTTTACAGGCAATCAGAACTGCAATGCTTTCCTCTCTTTTCCTCACTGACCAGTGATTACCAATAAGAAGACTAAGAAGGAAGGTCTTTCTGATAGATCATGAGCTTCCTGCAGGCAGCCTAGTTTTCCTTTTTTTTTTTTTTTCCAGAAATATCATAGATTTTTCTTCTTTCCTTGGGACTCTTGGGGCTATTATTTCATTAGTCTTTGAACAAGGAAGCTTTTTCTTTTTTTCCCCCTTTCTCTCCCTGCTTCTCTCCCTTTCCCCCTCTCCTTCTGTCTAGAAAGAGTCCTAGGACAGAAGAAGTCAATAGCATCTTAAAAATGACTTTTTTGACATCAGTTTTCCTCTGGGATCTTGTAATCCTCCAAGTGCTCATGTTGATTTATTCAGCAGGGCTAGTCAGAGTCAATATCTGTGAAGAAGGAATGCTCTCAAACTCTCCCGAGTATCTGAGAAGAGAAGAAATTGTCCTGTGTAAAGAAGCGCTTATTTCCACAGTTGGGCATTGGAAACTGAAGTTGGGTATTTTTGGTCTTAAACTTTTTTTCTGGGCTTTTCAGATTAAACCATTATATGAACAACTTCATGCCTATGTGAGAACAAAGTTGATGGATACCTACCCATCCTACATCAGTCCTACTGGATGCCTCCCTGCTCATTTGCTTGGTAAGAAACTACAGGGGTTCTTTGTGCTGTTTGTCCTTTTAATTGTTTCTTTGACTAAAGCTGTCTTTTGGAGGGAGGCTCAATCTAACACATTTGAAATGTTTGTAAATAATATTATTATCATCACAGAAAATTGAAAAAGCAGATTTACAGCAGAAAGTCCATTTAAAAGCATTCTCTAATCTATTGTATTTAAGATGAATATATAAAGCTGAATCTAGTCTCTAAAATATATTCTCTATCTAAGATGAATGGAGAAAGAATTCTAGGTTAAAAGTGTTTATTTAAGTCGGTTGACTAAGCTTGGGATTTCAGTATTATATGGTAAGAGGGAAAGAGCTCAGTGGGCTGAAGGTGGCAGGAGAGAAATGTTTCTAGGATAAAGATACTGTCTAAGGTAAAGCTTCACAAGTTCATGCTAGACTGTGCCAATAAATCTTGCTGAAAATACTCTGTTTGGAATCACATGTGAGTAATTAATCAAGGAAAGTGGTCATCCTCTCCTACTCTAGCTGTCAAGGCCAAGTGAAATAGAAATCCCTGAAAATTTCCTGCCATGCATACTTAGTATTCTCCATAGATAAACCTCATATCTACCAGCCAGAGAGAATGTGAATAAAAGAACTTTGAGAATCTTTAACGCAACATAGAAATCTTCTCTATGATGTCCCTGGCAGACATTATTCTGTAATTTTGTGTTTGCTTAAACCTGTCTGGTGTGGTGAGCTCTTTCTACCTACCAAGGTAGGCTCATTCTTCCTTCTAAGGGGATGTTGCTTGTTACCAATTATATGAATATTCTGTTTTAGATGGAACAGAACCAGCACTTCTCTAGAGCCTTCAGTTCATTACTCGTATTTCCATGGATAACATTACTCAAAAATATGTCAATTCTGATTTTAAAAGACATTCTAGACATATGTGAACAGCTATCATATAATACACAGTATTACCTGGCACACAATTCTATCTTCACCATAGTTTAGTGACTTATGGTTATTAGCATGTATGCATTGTTTTCCTTTCTTCAAGTTCAATGTGTTACATAGATATATAATTACTCCTTAAGATTCCAGTACTCTGGTTCTTTTCCTTTGGTTGTGCTTTATCCGTGATCCTCCTCAACCACCATACTCAAAACTTAACAGCTATTCCAGATGAGTTTTCACTAACACAGAAGTAAAAAGTAGTAAAAAATAGTACCAGGCATGGCTTTCCTCTATGGTAATGGTTCTCAACATTCCTAATGCTGCCACCCTTTAATACAGTTTCTCATGTTGTGGAGACCCCCAACCATAAAATTGCTTTTGTTGCTACTTCATGACTATAATTGTTGCTAGTTATCAATTGCAATGTAAATATCTGATATGTGACCCTTAAAGGGGTCTAGACATTATCATTTTACCAGCAGCTGAAGGTCTTACTTGTTTTAGATGTCATATCATGCTGCTTCTTGGGCCACTTTTGGTCTTTTACTATGTACTGGACTTCTTTTTGTAGTAAACAGTTATAAATTTAAGTATAGGAGTTCACTTTTTATCTCTATTAAATCCAATCTTTTAAAAAATAAATCCACAAGGGCTGGCAAGAAGGCATGGCAGGTAAAAGTGCTTACCATGCCAACGTGGTGATCTGAATTTGATCTGTGGAACCCACAATGAAAGGAGGTAATCACCTATTGACAATTGTCCCTATATGTGCTGTGATACATGAAAGCCCATGCTCACACACATCACACACACAGCTATTGTTTGTTGTTGTTAATGTGTTCACTGGAGTATTCTTCATGTAACTGGGTTGCCCCATATTTTTAGTGCCAGGGTTTTGGTCTCTTGTTATTACAGCACATCTCTTTCTAGATCCATCTTTCTTTTCAGGATTTATGGCCTTGAATCCAACTTCACACTGTTGGAGACACTCAGTTACCTAGTTAAGAGTGCTATTATGGTATTAAAAGTAAAACCTAGTTATCAATTAATAGAAACACTAGACTCATGATCCTACATGATCCTACATTATTTGAATCTAATAGCTTCACAAGTAGTATTTTGTTGAGTTCATGGTGGTTTTCCCCATACATTTTACTTTGTTCTGCTTTGCTTAAGAAAGGGTCTCACCACGTAGTCCTGACTGGACTGGAACTTGTTGTGCAATCCAGGCTGGCCTTGAACTTAAGATCATCCTTTTTTAGCCTCCCAAGTCCTGAGCTTACTGGCTTATACCACAATGTCCAGTTTTAATTATGCCTTCTTGTAGCAATTCATAATAGGAGAAGCTGTGAAGATCCCCTAATAAGCTTTGCCTAGTCACATAATTTCTTGTACACTTAGTGTTTAACAGGTGATAAAGAAAATGTTGCAAAGCTAATATAAGAAAAGGACCAAAAAGAGAAACAGAAGTAGTGAAAAAGGAATGCAGAATCTAGGCTGGTTAGAAATACTGAGTGGCTGCTTTGCCCAGCCAACCTCATATATTATGTAAGATTGGACCCGTGTTTCTGTTGTTTTGGTCAAATATTAATGTATTTTTTTTTGTAAATAGGTGATATGTGGGGTAGATTTTGGACAAATCTGTACCCGTTGACAGTTCCCTTTGGACAGAAACCAAACATAGATGTTACTGATGCAATGGTGGAGCAGGTAGGAAAAAGAAGACTTAAAATATGAAGTTTCAATTACAGTTTTCACTTATGCATCTTTTTGTTCTGATCCTGTATGTGAAGTCATGTTGGTAGAGAACCAAACTAATTTAAGTATGTATTTTCATGAAAAAGTAGTTTATAATGGCAATGATCTCAAGCACCTTCAATAACAGGACCTCTATTTATCTTGTTGAGAGGCAATCAAAATTGAGATTACTTTTTTTTTCTTCTACAACCAATAAAGTATGGATTTATCAACTGGATGGCATCACATTTTTTCAAAGTCAATTGTTGCCAAGTAATGAGTCTGTACTCTGTAGGAATGGTGATGAACAGGAACATTTTATTTTGAGTATTAAAAGTCTTTGCTGATGAAAGATTATGAGAATCCTTTAAATCACCCCTTTTTACCATCTTGGTATCATTGTTTAAATTGTGTTCTCTTCTATCAGTGAAATCATATTAGAATTGTAGGTGGGTTTTTAAAATTTAATTTCTAATTAGAGTGAATGACCACATTTCCATTTGTCTCTACAATAGCCTCAGATGGTCACACAGTAATTAAGTATGTATGTTTGATGAATATTTGCTCTCAAATCCCTTTACAGCTGTAAGTAATGCAATGATGGCCTTCACATATATAACATACTCCTGGGGAAAGTTCACAATAGAATAAAACCCTAAATCTGTAAGTCCTCAACTTGTGCAACTGTTCTAGCTCCATTTTGTTATTGAATTACAGCAGAGGGCCTTCATGATATCAACCCTTCTCCTTTCCCAAAGGGCCTCATGTGTATTGTATAGTGGTGACCATAACTGGCTCCCAAAGTGACTACATAGTTGCTGCTTTTCCAATGTTGGAAGTATCAGAAAAGCTACCACGAGAGCTCCATGCTGTATGAAACAAAAGAGTTTTAGAAGTAGGATTCATTTGATGTCACACAGAGGCAACTCCTTCCCTCAATTCAAAGCTTCTAGTACTTCCTATCCACTTCTGATTTTCTGTTCATTTACTATTCAAGAAATGTTTACTGTGATTACTAGTTTGTGCTGTTTTGTTTATTCAGCTTCGGAAAATCATATTTAAAAGCAATCTTGAAACTTATGTGCCATAGTAAGCACCCAACCCTAAGAACCAAAGCAATCTTCAACACAAAGAACAAAGTAAAAGACATTACAGTCTCTGACTTAAAAACATGCTACAAAGCAGAACCATTAAAAAAAAATAGACACACAGACCATTAGAACAGAATAGAAATCCTAGGAACAGACTCACACATTCATAGACAACCAATTTTCAACAAAGGTGCTAAGAACATACATTAGAGCAAGGACAGTCTATAATTATCCAATCCTGTGAAAATTAGATGTCCACATGTAGAATAACCAAATAGGAAATTTTACTTACCAATTCTAAAAATCAACTCAAATGGGCAGAAGATCTAGTAGTAAGACCTAAGACTATGAAACAGGGACAATGATTCCAGACCTTGTAATAGGTAAGTAATTTTTTAGTAGGACCCCCAAAACACAGGGATCATAAGCTCAAGTAGACAAATATGAAAGGAAAAAGCTTCTGCACAGGAAATGAAACAACAAGAAAAAACAATATATCAATCTAGAAAATATTTAAAACATGTACATGTGATGAGAGTTGGTGTCTAGAAGGTATAAGGAATACAATAGCAAAACTCCGTATAACCTAAGATATGAACATTGTTCTTCAATAGATAGTTTTTGAAAGAAGGCATATAAATGTTTAATCATTATATAAAAATATTCAATGCTATCACTGATCATGAAAATGGAGTTCAAAGCCAAAATGTAAGACGACTTCACTCTAGTAAAAATTGCTATTTAAAAAAGACAAAACACAAAGAAATGACAATAACAAAAAACAACCAAAATAAAAGGCCAACCCACTGAATGCTGAAGAAGGATGTGAAGTAAACACTTCCACACTGACTTGCAATTGCAACTTAGTACAGCCATTAGAGGAAGCAACTGCCATGTAATCCAGCAACCTCATTCTTGGGTATATATCTAAAGGAAACGAAATGAGTATGTTCAAGTGCCAACAGTATTCCTGTGTTTATTGGAATGCCATTCATGGTGCTCAAGAAATGGAAACAAACTCAGTGTCCATATGAGGATGAATAGGTAAAGAAAATGTGACACCTGTGCACAGTGGAATGCTTTTCAGCCATAAAAGAATGAATTCCTGTCATTCATGAGAGCACAGATGGAACCGGATGGTGTTATGTTAAGTGAAATAAGGCAGATGTACAAAGACAGGTACATATGATCTCACTCATACGTGGGAGTACAAAAGTTGATTTATGGAAGTTGAAAGTTGAAGGGCGCTCACCAGAAACCGAAGCATGTAAGTATGGGAAGGAAGGGAAAGAAGGGGAGTGGAGGAATGTGGGTAAGGGGGAAAGGAAGAAAAGGGGAAGGGGAGGAGAGGAAGGAGTGAGACTAAGTTATCATCAGTTAACAGTAATAATTTATAAGTCCTATTGCACAGTACAGTTTGATAATGATGACATACTATGTAGTTTTGATAAGCCTGAAGAAAGAAACTAAGTATTTTTTCCATAAATAAATTGTAAATGGGTAAACAGATATATGTATCCTAATTTGAACATTAAACAAAATATATGTATATGAAAACACATTATACCCAAAAACATGCATTACATTTCTGTGCTTGTGTATTAATAATCTATGAATTCAAATTAAGACTGCCATACTAATTAGTAACAATTAGTAACAATTTTTAGACATTAAGCCTCTAAGAATCAATAATATGAATAATGATGATAATAATATATGTTCATAGTCCTTCTTATTGCTAGGGTTGACATAAGAGAAACACTAAACATGACTGATACTCAAAATCAGAACAAATATTCTGTTACTAAAAGTGATTCATGGCACCCCGTATTAAATACTCAACTTATTGTTGCCTGATGTTGTCTTCATTGCCTCAGCAAGCTTGGTTGTCTCCTGAGACATTGATATGAAAGAATTTGCCAGGTAGTACATGCCTATGGCTGTCTCTGTATAGTTTCAAAACATTTTGAGAGTTCAGGTGCTATAGTGAAGCTCAAATACTCATTGGCTTCTAGGCCAAATTTTTTTTTATTTTTTTAATTTCAAAGGCCTATGCCTTTATGTCTGCTATATTTTTCATTCTTTCACTGAGCCTAACATATACCTTGGCTTCAAAGGAGTTCAATTAATGACTGCTGCCTTGAGTTAATAGTCTTCAGCAAGTGGATATTTATGTTTTTTCTTGTGTTGGAATATAAAGAAAAAATGATCAGGGATGTAGCTTGAAAGGTAGACTGTCTAATATATGTAAATCCCATGGATCACTTCACAGCACTGGATGGGGGAGGGGTACACAAAACCAAAACCCAAGAATAAGGACAAAACAAAAGAAAAAAAAAATCATCCCACATATCATTCAATTTGTTGTTACTATTTTCACATATAATTTTCTTCATTAAGACTGATGCCAACTAAATGATTTATTTTTCACTTATTATCTCATATCTTATAATAGCCACATGATTTCTTTGTACATAGTTTGAGTGGCTTTTACACTTTTTATTCTACAAAAGTCTCATTGCTTACTCATTCTCATGACTCCTTTGTCTTGACTTATACAAAATCATACCCAGTGTAACTCTTTGACACAAGTTTGGATCATTTCCTAGGTGAATTCCCTAGAGGCAGCACTATGGAGGCAAATGATAAACATTCAAAAACCTAAATGTCTGTTGGAAAAGTTATGCCAACATACATGTACATGTCCAACAGGAAGAATTTCTATTATAGCACAGGGATTCAATATTGTTCTTTTTCTCCCCCCCCCCAGGGCTGGGATGCAGAAAGGATATTTAAAGAGGCAGAGAAGTTCTTTGTTTCTGTTGGCCTTCCTCACATGACTAAAGGATTCTGGCAAAACTCCATGCTGACTGATCCAGGAGATGGCCGGAAAGTGGTCTGCCACCCCACAGCTTGGGACCTGGGGAAGGAAGATTTCAGGTAGTTTTGCTGACAATTGCAGTACAGATATAGTCTAAACAGGAATCAATGACGGCAGGGTTCTTCTTTGGGCATATGATTTAAGGATCTGCACACTAAACCTGGGAGTCCACATGAGTCCATTTGTCTCACCCAGGAAAAGAAGATACACAGATCCTCAATGGCACTTCTAGAGAGCATACCTTACTTGAAAATTTTCAGGTCTATTAGAGTCTCCTGGTCACAGGGTTGGTGACATTCCTATTAGGAAAAGTATCGGTGCTGAGAACTATGACAGATGAACATATGACTCACAATTAATTGTGAGACAGGACAAGTGGATACCAACTTGGAATGAAGGAGAGAAAATGGTACATGCCATAAGAGAGACTCAGGGAATGCTTTATTAATAGTTGGGATAGGGGAATGAGTCACTCTTGAACTGAGAAATAGGGTCAGACAGACGCTTTGTGGGTGGCTTAGGAATTGAGCTTGAAGTGCAAGAAGAGGTTGGATAGACACCTGAGAGGATAGCAGGTTGGAGGAACAGAGGGATCAGGTGCAGAGAGGCAGGACCTGGAGTCAATGATGAAGTCAGCAAGCTTAAACTGGAACAGGAAAACGATGTTCAGGATAGTCCTGTGATTCTGGGATGTGGCAGGATGAGCACAGGCTTTGGAATCCAAGGTGTGTCACATAATGATCAGGCAACCTTGAGTAAAGTCATCTTGGGTTTCAGCTTCCATATCTATAAAGCAGAACACGAATGCCCAGATTGCAAGTTTATGTCATGGGTTCATCCCCTGGCTTGAACTGGAAATTAATATACGGGGACACCTCTCAGGAAAAGGCAAGTGATGGAATAGGTCAGGATAGGCAAAGCAGATAAGGATGCAATCTGTGATGGACACTTGGCTCCAGCCTGATCTCATGAACCACTCTGAAGCCTGATCTGAATCACAATTGGCCACACTTTGAGCCAAAGGGCTGGCTTTTATATTTCCCTAAGTTAGCTAGCCACAGGATGTAGATTGTCCCAAAGTATTAAGAAAACCTCTCCATGAGGCAGCCCCTACTTGGCCAAACCAGGGAAATCAGTTTTAGATAGATATCACTCAGGCATCTGAGGAATAGTAGATCTACTTGAAGGATTAGGTCTGGTTCCACAAACACCCATTAGAATGGAAGCCAGTAGTAGCTTCTGTAAAGATACTAAGGAGAGAGGGCTTTGAATACCTCTGCTGCAGCTCAGTGTGAGGACACACACCTATAAGCCTTTAATCCCAGCACTTGGAAGGCAGAGGCAGGTAGATCTCTGTGAGTTCAAAGCCAGCCTGGTCTATAGAGTGAGTTATAGGACAGCCAGAGCTGTTAAACAGAGAAATCCTGTCTTGACCCATCCCCACACTCCCAAAGAACCTCCCTGCTTCAATTAGATAACTCTGCACTTGTAGCATGAAAACAGTCATAGATATCCATAAACAAATAAGTGGGTATATGTGCCAATTAAGCTTTATAAAACCAGGCATTAGGCTGTGGGTGATCAGTCCAAATCCTCCTTGGAGGCTAAAAAATGAGAACATATTCATATGTTTCCCAGTTCAGAATATAAATAGTAAATATATAATAGCTATTATAACTATTGGAAAAAAATAAAGAGAAATAAGGTAGGAAAGCAAGTTGTGGTCTTATTATGGTGGATATAGGAGATTGGCCTTATTCGAAACAGTGGGGAGACCCTAAAGAGTATTTATCAGTATTCAAGGGTCACACAAGGAGAATGATAGGAAAATCCATTTGAAAATCTTTTGAAGTATAACACTCACTCATATCTGAATAAGCATATGCATGTCAAATGGAGAAGGACCACCATATATTTGCCAGATGCAGTTCTTTTCTCAATGGAGCACAGCACAATTAGACAACATTTACCTGTTATCTTTAAACACCATTTCTCATTAAATTTTGTGTGGTGTTGGTCTTCCAAACTTCTCTGATGTGCTTAATAGCATTTTCCTTACGCACTCTGAGTCTATGCTTTTTGAAATCTTTGGTACTCGGACCTCCTACATCTTTGTCTTTGGTCCTCTTTTGGGCCATCATGTTTACCTTCATGGTTTACATTACATTGGGTACATTTAATGATACCCAAGTCTAAATGTCTTGCTCCTTCTCTGTCCTGGCTAGAAGACTGTGCCTGTATTCACTTATTGTTGTGCATTAGGCCACTTTTATTGATCACTTACTCACTGCTCACCTAAGAGTTATGTGGCAGAGAATTCTGTTTATCATCCTTTCTATTAGTGTATGAGCACAAGCACGGAATTTAGGCCTGTCCCTCACTTTATACTGAGTTACTGGGCAAAAAAGTAAAAATTCAACAATGAATAAATCAACATGTTGCCCAACCCCCACAAAACTCTGTTATAGTGATTAAAGGAAATTAAGTAAGATTCATTTTAATCTTGCTCATTTTTATGCAGAATCAAGATGTGTACAAAGGTCACAATGGACAACTTCCTGACAGCCCACCATGAGATGGGACATATCCAATACGACATGGCATATGCCACACAACCTTTCTTACTAAGAAATGGAGCCAATGAAGGGTTCCATGAAGCTGTTGGGGAAATCATGTCACTTTCTGCAGCTACACCGGAGCATCTGAAATCCATTGGTCTTCTGCCATCCAATTTTCAGGAAGATAGTGGTACATTTTCATTTAGCTTGTTTTGGGGAATAATCTGATATGGGGAGAGGTATCTATTATCACCTATAGGAAAATACTTGTTTTGCTTTATGCCACCTAGGTGAAAAAAATGTTTATGGGGCTTGATATAGGTAAGACTTTTTAAAGAGGATGCCAACTTGTGACTTTATATATTTAAACAAGGAATGAATGAACTTGGAACTCTAAGAATGATCTAATGGGCTTTTTGAAGATGCTGAAATAGCCCTCAAGAACTTAAATGGCCCAAGGTCGCAAAGCTAATCAGTGTCTGGCTTTTAAACAGTTGGCTGTCATTTTCGGTTAGAAACAAACATTCAGGAGAGCCAGTTTTTTCAGTGAGGTTGCCATGGCTTTTGTAAAAGAAAAACAGATTCTAATACCTTTACTTCTTTAATGAATTTCTCACCTTTCTTTTCACTAGTTTTTAGATTCTGTAATTTATTTATTTAATTTTATTTTTCAAATTACATAATGCATAAATATACTTTGCTGCTATCCTCCATCACTTCCTTTCTTATTCCTTCCCCTCCCTCTGAACAAACACTTTCCAATAAATTTCCCTCCTATTATCATGTCTGCTTGTTTGTAGCCCACTGCATTTAATGAGGGTTTGATCTGAGCCTTGGTTCTCCTGTATGAACCATCTAGTCAGGGAAGTCAAGGTCATGAGTTCTATTCTTGTGTACACAATTCACTTGACCTTTATCCCTGGCTCTTAGTGATCTGGCAAAGGCCTGTTAGTAGGCCAGTGGAAGGCCATCATCATTTCTGAAATAGTCACTATTAACCCAGATACAGTAGTTTATAGTCCAGTAATGGTGCTTTTGATGAAGAAAGCAACATGCAAAAAGCAGTTTATGGTAACCATACCTGCTTCCTAATTTAAGAACATCATTGCCGGGCGTTGGTAGCTCATGCCTTTAATCCTAGCACTCAGTAAGCAGAGGCAGGCAGATCTCTGTGAGTTCAAGGCTAGCCTGGTCTACAGAGGCAGTTTCAGGACAACCTCCAAAGCAATACAGAGAAACACTGTCTTGAAAAAACAAACAAACAAACAAAAATAATACGATTAATCCATGCTAATGAACAATGATTTGTTTTACAGCTTTTTTACGTTTGCCTTGAGAATAGGCAAAGATAATGAAATCAGTATGTTTCTTATGATGTCACACAATGAAAGCACTGGCTTGTAAAATCCTCCTTTCTTTAGCTCTGGCCTTGATTTGTGAATGATGTAAACCAATGGATCCCTTCATTCTTTTTCTCCTTTCCTTCAGCCTGACCTTTTTTTTGTGGGTTGTGTATGCTTTGTTGTTTGGAGATAGGGCCTTACTCTGTAGCCAGGGATGCTCTGAAACTCACAACAGCCCTTCTTCCTCAGCTTCTAAAGTTTGTGGATTCCAGGCATGAGTCACTGTGCCTGTCTCTTTTTTCCTAAACAAATTTATTGAGCACATACTACATGTAAGGCATTTTCCCCAAAACATATAGTGATGCACAGATTAGATAGCATCCCCGGCATTTACATTTGAGCGACCTTCTGTGGTGTGCTGGAGGTCAGCCCTACTTCCTCTTTAGACTAATGAGCTTACATAACTTTTAAAGTGCACATTTAGTATTCTTTCTAAGGAAGAAATCAGTCCTTTTAAAGAACATTGTACTTTTGATGATCCAGTGGAGGATACCCTCTAGAGATGTCCATTTAATATTTTTATCATAAATTTATTTTTAGCTAGTATAAAGATATAACTGTTGTACATGTTAATGGAGTATTGTGATGTTAAAATACATATGTATATATCATGTATACACTACAGCGAATGTATCTGTCTCTATAATCATCATTAACTAATAGTGAATTTTTTGGGAATCTTTTCTTCTAGCTTCTTTCTGTAGGGCCTCACACATGTTAGGCAAGCACTCTATCACTGATAGGCCTCTTTCTGAACTGTACAAGGCATTATTGTCATTTATATAGCTAACCTGTTGTGCAAAAGAACAATATTTTTTTTTAAAAAAAAATGCCCCCACCCTAGTTTACAAGGTTTCACCACATCTGTTTAATGTTTGCTTATTTACTAAGGGCTCACAGAGAGCATTACAGAGCAGACACTGGCCTGGGTACATAGTCTTGAATGAGACATTAACAGTCACTGCCTACATGGAGCTCTCAAGAATAAACAGTATGACTGGGAAAATCGATGAAATTGCCCTAATTAACTCTGGTGAAGGGGATATTTAAAGAAGTCATTTGATAGTAGTAAAAAAGTAAGGATTAGTTAACTTGTGGGTATTTACTGACTTGTTCTATTCCAGGGCTTTATCCTATTCTAAATCTATCCCCTGAGAAAATATATATATTTCCCATGTAATCATCCTGGAGTAAGGTTATCTTGAGGAGGAATGATAGCTTCAGATTAAGAAAGTTCTCTTACAAAATTTCTGTTTCCATTTCCTACCTTAATATTTGGCCTTTTCCATTTCCCTTTCAGAAACAGAAATAAACTTCCTACTCAAGCAAGCACTGACAATTGTTGGGACGCTACCATTTACTTACATGTTAGAGAAATGGAGGTGGATGGTCTTTAAGGGTGACATTCCCAAAGAACAGTGGATGGAGAAGTGGTGGGAGATGAAGTAAGTCAATGAATTTGCAATCAACAAAATATTTCCTCGTGAGCTTACATGTGAGCACATACACACATGCGCATGCGTGTGAGCGCACGCGCGCGCGCACACACACACACACACACACACACACACACACACACACTGTGATCTCTATTTCAATTGTCAGAGGGAGGATTTCTATGGTCACCTGAACCCACAAATGGTAGGAAGGCTAAGAGATAAATGCCATCCTCACAGTTCTCAACCAATAAGAGATGGATAAACATCTTAGTTCTCCAGCTTTCCTGTGGAACGGCTCTTGTGATAAGTAGTGTCCACAGAATCCTAGACTTCATGGGGGAATCAGCTCACAGTATAGTACTGATAGTTGTGACAATGCATCCTTTTGGGAGGAATCTTGTTTTTCTTTCTCACCCCTTTGCTCATGTTTCCTGAAATCATATCCCAAGACATTGTCTCAAGGGTCTTTTCCCAAGTGGTAAGGTAAGAAATGTGTAATTAGCATAGTGGTGGCTCATACCTTTGATCCCAGCACTTGGGAGGCAGAAACAGGTGGATCTCTGTGTTCAAGACCAGCCCAGTTACAGAGCAAACTCTGTCGTTACGAGCACTTTCCCGCCAGCCTGGTCCCAGAGCCATGTCAGTCCCAAAGTAACACACAGAGACACTGTATTAATTATGAAACTGTTGGCTGGTTACTAGTGTTTCTTATTGGCTAGCTCTGTCTTAAATATTAATCCATAATCACTAAGATATGTATTTCTACATGGTCTTATCTTACCGAGAACACCAGACTCGCGTCATCTCTTCCTGAGATCACATCACGACTCTACTATGTTTCCCAGAATCCTCCACATCTCCTAGTCTTACCTATCTTGCTTTCCTATAAGCCAACAGTGCCTTATTCATTAACCAATAAGAGAAATATATTTACAGAATGACATCTCCCATCACTCTGTCTTGAAAAAGAAAGAAAAAAAGGCCATCACTCTGTCTTGAAAAAGAAAGAAAAAAAAAAAGGAAAAAAAGAAAGATGTAATTAATGAGGGGGAGTCTCTAAAGTTATGTATAAGCTTGTGCTTATATATAAAGTTTTGCTTATGTATAAGCAAAGCTGTCCATAAAGAACAAAAGTTGCAATAATAAAGGACAAAACTATATTCCTTCTAAACAATTTCTAAAAAAATAATGCCTATATGGCTTCTCTACCTTTTTTTCTAACTGGTCTAACTTTTGGGTCTCTGTTAATTTCTTTTAAACCAACATGGAATCAGACCTTCAAAGTAATCCAGCAATGTATTGATTGCTCATTTTGTCATTTGCCAATCAGAAATGAAGTTTCTCTGTAGCGCTCTGGGGGTAGTATTTAGCATGAGAGCTGTACAGAAACTAAGATACAGCCCCATCCTCTCAGAGCTCATGTCTCAGTGGTAAGGAGTTTGCATGTAAAAAAAAAAACAAAACAAAACAAAAAACACAATGCAGAGAGAGAAATGGCAAGGAATTAAAGGAAACAATACAGATAATGCATGAAAGCAGAAGGAGGGTCCAGGGGTAATGAAAGGAGAACAGTGAGAAAAGGAGGGTATGGCATAGGGGATAGAAGATGCTCAAAGTATATTGCATACATGTATGAGATTTCATGAGAACCATTATTTTATATAATTAATAAATACTAGTAAAAAGCAAGAGAATAAAGCAGTACTAAAAGAAGACACAGAAGCTAAGGGAGCTTAAGGGGTTAACAATATTGCACACTGGGTGGCAAGCTTCATAGAAGAGGATGCATTTGAATTAACGTTGAAGAAAAAGATTTCAATTTTACACAGTTCTGACAGGAGCACAGAAAGTGTGATTGGCTGAGAAGAATTGGTAGTGTTTTCACTGCATATTTATGGCCATACAATGTACTTTTTGGACTTTTAAAACTTAGTGGTGTGTTTTGGTTGAATTAAGGCAACTGACATAAACACACAAGAGGCTTTCCTTTCTGGTTTTTACAATGTTTGTTTGTTTGTTTGTTTTCAACTGACAACCAGTTCCAATATAAATACGATTGCCAGGTGAAACTGCTATAGTTGTGCTTGCAGCTCCCTTCTCATGATAGTTTGCCCACAACTAACATATTCTTCCCTTTTCTTCCTAAGGAGAGAGATCGTTGGTGTGGTGGAGCCCCTGCCTCATGATGAAACATACTGTGACCCTGCAGCTCTGTTCCATGTTTCTAATGATTTCTCATTCATCCGGTACATGGCAGTTTTCTTCTCTCAGTTTATCATCTAGGGTTTATAGGATAGCTGTGGCTAATAACAAAACCACAAATGAAGGGATAATTACAAGCCTTTTCTGTCTACCACCTATTGCAAACTTGATGTAGATGATTAGTTTCGATTCAATTTAATGCAACATGTGTTATTGAGACCTTGTCCCCATTGCTAAGGACTGTACTATTTGCATTGTATTGCTGGGATAAACATTGGGACCAAAATCAACTCGGAGAGGAAAGGGTTGATTTGGCTTTGTTCCAATCACAAATCCATCATTAAGGGAAGCCAAATCAGGAACTGAAGCAGGGTAGGAACCTGGAGGCAGAAACTGAAGCAGAGGCTGTGGAGGACACTCCTTTCTGGACCACCTGCCTTTGAGGGGGGGAAATACCACCTCCAGTGGGCTGGGCCCTCCCACACCAACTGTTAATCCAAAAAATACTCCACAGACTGGCTTCAAGACCAGTCTGATGGAAACATTTTCTCAATTCAGGTTCCTTCGTTTTAGAATCAGAATCAGAAAAAAAATACTTTTAGTTCATCTTATCACTAATAGAGTTTACTATGCATCGAAAAAGTATTTTATTATTGCTGTTGCTTGTTTTGTTTTTCATTTGAGACAGACACTTAACTACATATCCTAGGCTGGCTTGAACTTATGATCCTTTCTGAATGCTGGGATGCAGCCATGTGTGGGTCTCACCTTCTGTATTTGTAAAAATGAGAATTTTACTTTTCTGGCATAAGGACTAGCTTGACACCATTTTATAGGAAAGGGTTATAAGTCAGTGACAACAATTCAAATGTGACTAATCCATGATAATGTAGAAGTGCTGCTTTATTACCAAATATATGCAATTCAAATAGCATGTGGTGCATCTGAAGAGTTCATGTTGGACTCCTGCTACAGAAAGTCTTTTAGGAAGTACCTCTGGGATTACTTGGGCCAGGAATTTAAATATTCACCCAGATCTGTGACTCCACACTGCAACAATAAAACACGAGCCTTTTGTTTCGTTCTTTGTCACTTGTACAGATATTACACAAGGACCATTTATCAATTCCAGTTTCAAGAAGCCCTTTGTCAAGCAGCTAAACATGATGGCCCACTGCACAAATGTGACATCTCAAATTCTACTGAAGCCGGCCAGAAGTTGCTGTAAGAAATACCTCAAAATGTTGAATATCTCATAGCACCCCATATTATTAATTTCCATGCCCATGATTTAATTTAAATTATTTGCCTCCTCAAACCTCTCTTCCCTAAAAAAGAAAAATTTGGAATTCAGAATTTCTTCAACCAACCAACCATGAAATAAATTTTTACTTTGGAATGAGACAGGAACCTAGAATGTGAGATGCCAGGATAGGCCACCTCTTTGTGTCTATGTGATAACCACAGGGCTCTCTTTTGAGCAATTGGAAGGAGAGACTGAACCTTGAAACATCCGATAATATGCCTTCTTTTTCTAATCCACCAAAATAAAATTTAGCCAATTCCAAGAAAATAAGTATAGAGTGTAGATGCAAAGGTATCCCTCACCTAGAACCCCTTCAAAATGATGCTCACTCTCTCTTTTTTCATGTAGCAACATGCTGCGTCTTGGAAAATCTGAACCCTGGACCTTAGCATTGGAAAATGTGGTAGGAGCAAGGAATATGGATGTAAGACCACTGCTCAATTACTTTGAGCCATTATCTGTCTGGCTGAAAGAGCAGAACAAGAATTCCTTTGTGGGGTGGAACACTGACTGGAGTCCATGTGAGTTCACTGGCTATGCATGCATTGTCCATTGTTTCTTGTTTGCTTCTCTTAGTGTCTTTTAGCTATCGCTGTGTGGGGGCTGTGACACAGCTGAATATGTATTCCCTCTTCTTTAGACCATGTCACAAACTCTGTCAAGTTTCTTAATAGTCTCATGTTCACAGTAAATGTTATGACACTCTCCTACTGCCCTTGAATGTTGCTCTTTGTCCCAGTTTGCTTTCTGTTGCTGGGATAAGGACAGTGACCAAAAGCAATTCGGAGAGGAAAGGGTTCATTTCACCTTACAGTCTATAGTTAATAGAAACTCACGATAGTCTGTAGGCTAGAACTGAAGACGGACCATAGTGTGCTCTCCATGGCTTGCTCACCTTGATTTTTCCAGGACCACCTGCCCAGAAGTGGCATTGCCTACAGTGCTGGGACTTCACACATCAATTATTAGTCACAAAAATGCTCCATTAGGCCAATAAGATGAAGACACCTTTTTCTATTAAGGTTCATCTTCCCAGATAACTATAGCTATGTCAAGTTGACAAAACAAACAAACAAACAAACAAACAAATGAGCAAACAAAGCTAACCAGGACACTCTCCTAAGACACTGTCATCTGCATCACGGTTAGACCTTGTGTTTCTGACAGTCACTTTCCTATTTCTAAAACTTTGTTTATACAGGTGTCTGACTACCAGACAGTCATAGAACCCCTCTCATCCTCCTCTCCCACTGGCATTTTTTATTGTCTCAGGAAAGATTTGATGTGGGTTTTAGTGAAGCAGTTATCAATATTTGACCACCTATACAACCAAATATTTATTTAGTACCAACTAGTATGATTTATCTACTCTTTTCAGCCTCCATTTTTCTTCCTAGAAACTTCCCCTTGGAGTCTTACATAGTCCTATCTTAACATGGCCCATAATTGTCCTTCAAATCATCTCCTGGCTTCTCTGTGTTGAATCCTGTTTCCTAGATTCCACATCTTTCCAGGTTTATATCTTGTTGTGTTGAACAACTTCCGATTGGCTGAGAAAGTGCTAATGGTGTGCAGAACCATGCCATCTCCAAAGTGCCTTTAACCACAACCTCAATGCCATTTCCCATTCTCTTCCTGCCTCATCATTTCTCATTCCGTAAAAGCTGTGTCTGTGCCTTAAAAAAATTCTATTGCTTTCACCTTAGTGCAATCTTGGGAAGGGAAAAAATAAATGTGTGGTTAGTCTGTCATCTAAATCAGCGGTCTGAAATTTCTCTTTACTCAGATGCCGACCAAAGCATTAAAGTGAGGATAAGCCTGAAATCAGCTCTTGGGGAAAATGCAGTGAGTATTCTGAATGATGATTCCATTTTTCTTTAGAACATTCTCTTCCTTTGAAATCCTATTCCAGGGTGGTATAAATGAAGAGAGGCCACAAGGTTCTCTTAAAACTATAAGCTGCAGGTCTGGCCTTCAGCTGACTCCCTCCCTCCCTCCTTCTCTTCCTCCCTCCCTCCTTCCCTTTCTCCCTTCCTTCCTCCCTTCCTCCCTTCTTTTCCTTTGTAATCCAACCCTTATTGGATAGACGGTGTCTGCTGTTCACTTGTTACCTTGAATATGTTAGGAAAATCTGAGCAGAAGCATCTGCTCTGATCCTTAATTATAAGCACTCGCCTTCCCAACTGACTCTTCCCACTGTGACTTGTATTGAAGGACGAGGTCATTCCTGAGTATATAGTGAAGGCTTATTTCTTTTCTTAGGTTTTTGGTTGGTTTTGTTTTCTTAAGCATGTACCTTCTAGTTTTTTTTTAACATTATGGTTGGCTCATGAACACACAAAAAAAAAAAAAAGAAAGAAAAAAAATTCTCAAATCTGGAAAAAGTGTAGCATCTCAGGCCCCAGCCCTGGACCTGTTTAATCAGGACCCACAATTTTGTAATTTTGGTTTATATACATAGTCATAACTGGGGAACTCTATTCTCAAACTTGGCTCAACATTGGAACTGTGTGGGAAGTCTTCAAACTCTGAGTACGTGGGTCACATCTCCTCCAGAGACACTGGTTTAATTGCTCTGGAGAGTGACACCAAGATTTGGACATTAGGACTTTTGTTTGAGACTGGGTCTCACAATGCAGTTACAGCTGGCCTGAAACTCACAGTGTAAACAAGGCTGGCATTGAACTCCTACAAACCTTCCGAGTGCTGAGATTAAAAGCATGCGCCATCACACCCAACCTCATTAAGAGTTTTAAATGTGGAGTGGGAGTGATGGCTTGGCAGTTAATAGCACTTAAGACTTTTGCAGAAGACCCAGATTTTGTTCCTTGCTCCCACATGGTGGTTCACAACCATTTGTAACCCCAGTCCTACAGGTTCTACTCTGATCTCTGCAGGCACCAGGCACAAACATTGTATGGGCAAAACACTCGTACACATGAAATAAATACATTTTTATAATGTAAAGAATTTTTACATCTCCTGTCAGTTCTAAGTATAGCCATGTTGAGAGACATTGACTTAGAGATGAACTTTAGGGTAACAAAATTTTTTATAGAAACTTTTATTTATGCAGTTTGTTATAGTTATAGTTCTCCTCTGAACAACCATCACCTTTGATCCAGCCCTGGAACATATAAGCTTCAAAATTATAATTTTATTAATATATAGTTATTGTACAAAATGAGTTTCATTGTGAGATTTTCACACATTTACATAATTTACTTTGATGGTGAATCGCCCCTTCATTTACTATCTTCCCTACCCTTCCTCTACTGTTCCCCTACTCTTTCCAAATAGTCTCCTTTTTAGTAATAGCTTTGATTAGGAAAGAGGAGAGGACGTGTTGTTTCAGGTAGATGGGATCAAAAGCCTGGGTGTGTCCTGGAAACCTGAAAGCCTTGCAGGTTTAGAAGTCATCCTGGGACAATCAGATAAAACAGTCCAAGGTGCTACAGAAAATTGTTGTGTCATTATGTAGAACCAAAGACTCAGTTTCTACCTTCCCATTTCCTGAGAAGTTAAATATTTCCTAAGACTTGAAAAACAACTTAGATAAAATTTTATAGATGAATAAGACACCAAAATATAAATAATACAATCATTAAATAATGAAACCATAAGAAAACACTCATTTTTCTCTTTTATTGAAAATAGATTCTTTTCTCACACAATATATTCTGATTACAGTTTCCCCTCCCTCTCCTCCTCCCAGTTTCCTTTTGCTTCCTCCGCCCTTTTCTGTCTTTCATTAGAAAAGAACAGGCTATGAGAAAGCAAATACAGAAGCACAAATCCATTGCTTCTCAACTCTGAGTTCCCATTTCTATTTTTGAATGTGCATCGTGGGTCCAAGAGAGTATTTATCTTCACCATACTTTTATTAGCTCTCCATTCACCTAATAAACTGAAATTATTCCTGGCAGGTCAGGGAGCTTCTCAGTTCTCTTGTCTAGGCATTTGAGTTCATGTTCCTTTCCATGCAAAGCTGATGGTGTGGCATTTTGAAGCCATCACTGAGTGAGATGTCCTTTCAGTATCCATGTGCAGTAGGGCTAGAATATCTGCCCAGTTCAAGTCATTTCATGGTGGACATCCACTGGAGCTAAGGCATCATCTTAAAAATTTACCTTTTAAATGTAAATACTATGGAAGTACTGAACAGACAATTACTAGGAACAACATTAATATACCATTATTACTATTAAGATTAAACCCCATCCTTCACATATCTGGGCAAAACTAAGCTCAAGTGAAAACAATTCTTTGGTGAGCTTCTGTGTTGCCTTTCTCTAAAAGGAAGAGGAGAAATTAAATTCCCATGTTATGTATTGATCTCTACTGCCAGCTACTGGAGAAAATAGTGAATGCAAACACCTCTACTAGGCTTTGCAAAGGACACAAATTACTTTTTTTATTTTTGAGATCCCAGGTAGCCCAGGCTGGCCTTGAAGTTGATATGTAGCTAAAGTTTGCCTTGACGACCTGCTTATCTTGTCTCTAATGCTCTAATGCTGGGATAACAATGAGAACTACCATGCATGGTTCAAATAGCTAAGAACTTACAATCAAAATAGTAAAAGTTAGATTTTGCATCTTACAGATAGTCCACAAACCCCCCACAGGTTTGGGTTGCCTCCCATATATAGACTTACACTTGGGGTTCTTATTTCAATTCATATTAAGCCAAATTGAGAGGAGCGGTGGTCATCATGGTTCCTGAAGCAGAGATGGTTTCCTGACCAGCAGCATTAGCACCAGGGGTGGGGATGGGAGTTGGGGGTGGGGTAAGTAGATATCCAAATTCATGAGTCTCATCCTTGATGGTCTGATCAGAAATTCTTCAAGTACAGTCAGTAGTCAGTTTTAAGCATCCCACCGCCAAATGCTGATGTGTGCTCACATTGGAAGGCACAGACTTGATAGCCAGAGTCCTTGGAATAGTGATGAGGACTCTCCAGTTTCCCCTCTCCTCTACCACCCCCCCCCAACTGAGTGGTATCTTTCTTCTTAATTTGCAGTATGAATGGAATGACAACGAAATGTACCTGTTCCGAGCATCTGTTGCATATGCCATGAGAGTATATTTTGCAAAGAACAAAACCCAGACAGTCCCTTTTGGGTGAGTTGATCTGCAAAGGTCTATGAACAAAAATCCCCCTATTCTAGAGTCTAAGGAGAGATGCTTAACTTTTTGTGTGGTTTTTCAAGACAGGGTTTCTCTGTGTAACAGTCCTGGCTATTCTGGAACTCACTCTGTATACCGGGCTGGCCTTGAACTCACTTCCTGCCCCTGCCTCCTGGGTGCTGGGATTAAAGGCATGCATTAACACTGCCAAGCACCTATATTTGTTAAATTCTTTGACAATTTTATATATTTATATACTCTGTTTTGTAGTTCTTTCATCTGACTCCCATGGAATTCTTCTTCCTCCTCCTACTCTTGTACCTCTATTTTTTTTTTTTAAAAAAAAAATTGTTGTTCTGTTTACTAGGGGCTCAGCGATCTTAACTAGAGTTGCTTGCATAAGCATAGTCCAAAAATTTATTTGGCATCTGGTATTTGGGCCACTTCCTTTTAGGATGCTTGTGGTTTAACTTGTAGATGGCATGAACATTTGTTGTTATTAACCACCCCCCCTTCTTGCTCCATACACTCTCATCCCTCCCTTAGAAGTAAAAAGAAGAGGAAATTTCTGCCTTCCTTGACACTGAGATATCACTGTCTTCCATGTAGCTTTTCACACTCTTAGGACCCCAAGGATTCATCCTCGATTCCCTTGATGCTTTCAGTTGACATTAAAAGGAATTGAGCAGATGTGGGTTTTGTGTGCTTGTAGGAAAAAAGAAACAGCATCAAAAGTTGCTCTTAACTTTTTGTTTATTTGTTTTTTGAGACAGGGTTTCTCTGTTAGCTCTGGCTATCTTGGAACTCGCTATGTAGACCAGTTGGCCTTGAGCTCACAAAGATCTGATTGCCTCTGCCCAGGACAGGGCAGTGTTTTGCAGTTTTTATACAGTTGATTTCATGTGCTTTGGGAAGTGTAAAGTTTTTTTTTGGCTATATCGTCCCACTGTTTGCCCTGCCCTGCATCTCCTCATCCAGGAGCCCTGTTCTCATCTCCCTTTGCACCAGTAGGGGGAGGACTTCCTTTCTTTACTGTGCGTTTTCTTTAGGAAAGAAGAAAAAATGTTTCTTTTTTCTTTTTTGTCACAGAGTGGAAGATATACGGGTGAGTGATTTGACACCAAGAGTCTCCTTCAACTTCTTTGTCACTTCACCCCAAAATATGTCTGACATCATTCCTAGAAATGAAGTTGAAGAGGCTGTCAGGTGATGCTTAATTTCAAACAAACTATATAAGGGTTAAGGGGTTTGCTAACGCAACAATAGTTTACATTTAGTGTACTCTTTGCATGCTGGACATTATTATAAGCCATTTTGACATGTTTTGCCTCGCCCCAAAACTTGGGTGGTGGTTGTTCTGTTCATGTGTGTGGCGTATGTATAGGTTTGTGTATGGGTGTGTATACATGATATGAGACTACATGTAGAAGCCAGAGGTTAACATTAGGCATCTTTTCTGACCTGGTACCACTTTGTGTTTTGAGACAGGTTGTCTCACTAAATCTGATGTTAATCAACTCAGCTAGGCTGGCAAGTAAGCTTCAGGGATCTGCCTGTTTCCCACCCCCAGCAGTGGAGTGGACAGGTAGTGAGTACTACCATCTTTTATGTGGGTGCTAGGGATCAAAACTTAGGTCTTCATGCTCGCGCTGGCCAAACCAACTCTTTAGCTGCACAAACCTGAGATCTTAGTTCTATTATAATCCATTAGCAAGAGACTTGTTTTGATTGGAGACTGCCCCAGGTACAGGCCCTTAGACAAAGATTTTGGCATAAGCCATTTATTTGGGAGAAGCACTTCTGGAAGCTGTGGACAGGAGACAGAGAAGAGAGGAAAGGTGACATTTCAAGGTATCAAACAAGTTCCTGTTGTCAGAAAGGAGAGCTCAATCCTGCCAGGCAGCTCTGGGAAATGATAGAATATGCACGGGAATTGTCTCCCCAGAAGGCTGAGGGAGCTGGATATTTACTTCTCTCTAGTCACTGGGTAAGAACTGATTCCGGGTGACAGTCATTCCTTAGCCTCTCTAGCTTGACTATGGTCAAGGGAAGTCATTTCTGGCTACAGAAAGCTTGGCTAGCATGTTTGGAAAGGGCAGAAAGGAAATGGGCCAAGACTGCCACTATTTGTTACAGGGACGTTATGAAAGATTTATTGAACTGCTCAAAGCAGGAAATAAGGCAGGCAAACATCAAGTTCCTTTCACATTAATTGTCTCCTATACTGAGAGGAATTTACTGTTGAGCAGTGATTATACATAAGAAATGACTTGTCCAGTTTGCCTCAGCTGTTTGAAATAAGATAGCAGGAGTGGAAGACGGATGATTTTCTTTGTTATTAAAAAATGATATTAAAAATGCTGGGTGGCTGTGGTAGCTTACACCTTCATTGTAGTCACTAGGGAGGCAGGGACAGGCAGATCTCTTTGATTTTGAGGCCAGCCTGGTCTACAGAACTAATTCCAGGACAGCCAAGGCTCTGTTACAAAAAGACCAAACCAACCCCTGCCCCGCAAGATTTAATAAACTTCCTTACTTGACATCTCACTAGGTGGCGCTCTTGAGCCATACCAGAAATCCCGTATAATTTTTTTTTTTTTTTTTTGAGAACAGGTCTCAGACCTGAGGGATAGGGTGTGCCTAGAAAATTTGGCCTGGTTGTTGTGTGTGAATGAATCATGCCTAGGAATTCATTCTCCTCTTCCAAAAAGGGCAAGTACAAAATGCTGGCTAAGATAGTTATGAAAGCGACTGCTTTTCCTGGATTCCCAGCTATGAGCCACGGGGATCCTCAAACTTTCTTTTCTAGAAATGACTCTTCCAGAATGTCTTGAAAGAAAATCTTGAGGTCACCATGGGTAATGGCTAATTCTATGCTAGGTTCTTGTCCTCTCTAATGGAATTTGACCTTCTTATCTGAGCTACACCCATAGATAGAAGGCTGTGACGCCAGATGTTTTAGTCTACTAGAATATTCCCCCATTACACTGTTTTTGCATTAAATATCCTTCATCTTTCTGACTCCATAAACTTCAGCCACTTATCCCAGTGCTGAAGAGATGCAGAGGTCTCTTTCCCGTGGTACTCCTTGATGCTGCATCTAAATATCAGTACCTTTTGTTTGGAAAACTTCTACAGAGATTTGGGTATAGGACATGATTCATTTATAAAAGAGGGAAATTCACTTATATGTTTCTGTTTTTTGCTGTAAAATCATTTTTGAAGTATTCTGAAAGCTTAGACATTCTTGCTAAATATGCTAACTTAGCCTTTAAAAATCAGTACTTACATATGAACAAATACTAGCCATTTGTTCATTTCTAAAATTCTTTTGTATAATGAAACTTATTATTATTATTATTATTATTGGATTTTCAACACAGGATTTTCTCTGTGTATCCTTGGCTGCCCTGGAACTCACTCTGTTTACCAGGCTGGCCTTAAACCAGTAGAGATCTGCCTGTTCCTGTTTCTTGAGTGTTGGGATTAAAGGCATGTGTCACTACCACCTGGCAAAACTATTAGTTTGTATGACAACTTTATTCTTAGTTTGTATGACAACTTTATTCTTTTAACATTTTAGTGGGTGTGCCTGCATGTTTGTATGTGTACCACATGTTTGCAGTGCCCTTGAAGGCAAGAAGGCATCAGAGTTCTTGGGATTGGAGTTACATGCACTTGTAAGCTCCCCATTGTAGATGCTAAGAACCAAACTCCAGTCTTCTGGAAGAGCAATGCAAGCATGTATACAAGCTATCCAGCCTTGTCAGTTCTAAATTACCAACTCAAATTTCAAATGAGGTTATTGACAGGCCTAATTCAGGTTACCAGATATGAAAGATAAGTCAAAAGTTCATATTTTTCCATTGGCTCTATCGACTTAGATTTTATTGTTATTTTGGGTGTATATTTTGTGTGCTTTTTTTCTTTAAAACATGTTCCCCTGGCTATCCTGGATCTTGCTATGTGGAGCTATTTGTGCATGCTTCCTACATTTGCCTCTAGAGTACTGGCTTTACATGCATGTACCACTACACACATTCTAGTTGTACATTCTCATGATAAGCCTTATTTAATCCTATTGGGAACCATGATATAGAGAGGAAATAACTAGGCCGAATTTTATTTGTTCTAAGCATCTCCTTTATTATATTTTGCTTTTGCAAATAGATTTTCTAGGGGCCGTATAAATGATGTTTTTGGCCTGGATGATAACAGCCTGGAGTTTTTGGGAATTAATCCAACACTTGCACCACCGTACCAGCCTCCTGTCACCATATGGCTGATTATTTTTGGCGTTGTGATGGGAATTGTAGTGGTTGGCATCATTATCCTAATCGTCACGGGGATCAAAGCTCAGAAGAAGTAAGTGTCTTTTCTTAGACATATCTGTCTTTTAGGAAACAACTTGCAACAAATAGCACAATATATACATGAGCCAATTACTATTTGGACAATTCTCTACCTAACTACTCTGATGTGCCCCTTAGAAACTTGGCAGATGTTGTGAGCACTTTCTCTTCCTAGTAAGGTCACATATTAGATGTCTAGCCTGGGGTTGATTGACATAGAGTACTGCTTTATCCATAGAGGACGGACTGAGGCAGGATTTGAACTGTGATGCCACCTAAGAAAGAGCCCTAAGATATGCTTCAAACTACTATTATTTAGTTACTTCCATTCCTCTTTGGGTAGACCAAATGCCTTACCATTTTAGTTCATGGCCAGGCACCTTCTAATTTCTAGATTTGCAAGCTGACTGAGAGTTTTAATCATCAGAGACCTGATTGCTAGCTTTGTTTTACAATTAGGTTTTTTTTTGCTCCTGCCTTGAGAGAGAGTTGACCTTTGTTGGATTTCTTAAATATGATGGTATTTTGTATCACCTGATGAAATTCTATGCATGTTTTGAGTTGTTTAAGCACCCTCAATTGAATCTTTACAGAGACGAGTCTATTTTATTTAATTTTCTTCAATAAAAAGATTTTTCAGTTCCACCAAATAACTTCACTTGAACAATTGCGGTTATGGAAATGGAAAATCACTTACTGAATGAGTATGGAGACCTGATTTTGAATCCACATAGCCCATATGAAAGTCAGGTGCAGTAGTCTGTATTGCCAGCACTCTTACAGGGAGGGAAGGCAGAGCTGGGAGAATCCCTAGAAGTTTGACAGCCAGTTAACCTGGTATGCTATGTAGAAACAACAAAGAGACCCCATGTCTATCATGATGGGTGTGGAGAGTCAACTTTCTGGGGTTGTCTGTCCTCCACATTCACTGTAGCATACACAAATCCACAATTACATACTAAACATATATGTTCGCAGATACATACATGCACACATGCATGTACACATGTACATACATGCACACAAAACATTTTCTAGGTAGCTCATTCACATGGTTAAAAATTCCAAAGTACAAGGGAGTCACAAAGTTCCTTTGCCATTCTTTGCTTCTGAGATTCATTTCAACAAAAGTTATCAGTTTTTAGTGAAATTTGTGCTATATATTTTTATTTCCTATCCAGTATGTTTTAGAGATATTTCCAGATTGGCTGTACAAAGCACTTTCTTTTTCCCTGATAATATAGTTTGTTGGCCCTGTTACTTGTTTCTTATCGGCTAGCTCTGCCTTAATTATTAACCCATTTCTGCTGATCTATGTATTTCTCTTACCGGGGAGCCGGCGGCATACTGCTTTCTCTAGACTCTCCATCTTGACTCCTCCTTACTACTTCCTATTTCCTCCTTGTCTCCTAGTCCCTCCTATCTTCCTTTCCTATTGGCCAACAGTGCTTTATTATTAACCAGTATGAGAAACATATACAGAATGACATCTCCCATCATCTCTTCTTTTCTGTCTAAATAAAAAGAAGGGTTTTAACCTTAGCATAGCAAAATATATAACACAACAGTTATCAAATAAGAATCACAGCTAACAATATTTAGTCCATTAACATTTAGCAAGACTAAAAGAAACTATTCTATCATCTATCCTATATTTGTGAATCTAAAGTCCTATATGTAACTTATCTTTAAACCTAACTAAGGAAAACTATAACCATAACTATTTGTCTTCAACTCCATCAAAGACCACAGAAGGATAGTATATAAACTCTAGAAATGACAGAAACAACTCACTGCCTGGTCACCCGAAGTTCTTTTGTAATCTTCCATCATCAGCTCATAGGCCATAGTGTGTCTAGCTGACTCTTCAGCAACGCAGGAAACTTTAAACTGTCTTCTTGTATTGGCAGTTTATCAGTCACTTTTCTCTGTGTCCTGCATACTGTCTGGCAGACTCTTCCATGAAGCAGGAACTCTGTAGCAGTGTCCATCTTGAATCAGCAGTCACTTTTCTGTAGGTCCTGCATGTCCAGTTTATACAGCATCAAGTCAAACAGTCCATACAAGAGCAGTATCTTGTCCAAATGGCTAGTCTTGCCATATTGGAGGCAAACTCCATAACGAGTTTCTTCAATGTCCATCTTCCTTTCTGACGCAGGTGGTGTTGCCAGGAGCATTGGTGCCTCTTTGTCAAGAAAAATCCTAAACCATTTTAAATGCCATATTCTGTAGGTCTTTGAAAGGTTTGAAGAATTTCTATCTGTCTCAAATACATCTCTGTGTATCTTGAAAACCTAACTAACTTAACTCTAAGCTTTGACTATCATAGGTAATTATCTATAATCTGTACTACATTATATTTCTATATAAACACAATACCTAAACAAGAGGAGAAATACACATCTCACAAAATTGACATTAAATTGTATCAATAAATGAAAATCCATTCCAAAACAAAGTATTCATATCTATACCATAATCCCCTTTTTACCTTTAAAAAGAATTGGCTGTGATCATTACCCATTTATAACCAAGTCCATTTAAATGAAAACAAACATTTATAAACAATATTTGGGAATTTAGGCGTCGTTCTTTCCAAACTACTTCCTGCTGATAGGGGGCGCTGTCATGGGGATCCTTAGAAGTTGCAGAAATCTTGGCTGTATTCTGCGAGGCTGCTTTGTCCAAGCTGTTTTGAATGTTGGATCGCCAGGAACTCTGTTTCAGGGGGCCTGGCTTGATCAAACCACATTAGTCTGGAAGGAATCCACAGCTTTTTATTTTCTGTGGAAACAAAAATAGAAATCCTTTTCCCCAGTAACTTGTCCTTGAACTTAAATGTTGGAGTCAAAGCATTTTTAAAATATATAAATTGAATTAATGCAGCAGCATTTCCTTTATCAGTTGTTATTTTCTCAGCAGTCAAACAATGCAGAGACAACACAATAGCATACAGTAACCAGATTCTCTCTGAGCTTTTCATCTTTACGTGGCTTTATTATTACTGTTTATTTTAATTTTATTTTTTTTATTTTTTGACATAGGGATTCACTGTGTAACTCTTATCTGTCCTGGAATTTACTCTGCATACCAGGTTTACTTTGCAAATCACAGAGATCTGCTTGCCTCTGTCTCCTGAGTGCTGGGATTAAAGGCGTGTGCTACAACACCCAGTTCCTCTTCGTCTCTTTAAAACCATTTTTTTCATGTCTACGTATATTTTAAAACACATTATAAACCTTTAGATGTTTTTCTTAATATGAATCTGTCTTTACTGTAAATCTTTATCTTCGTCTGGCCACAAGTCCTTTATCTGGTAAACAACAACATTGCTAAAATGAAAGTCATAGCTGTATCAGCCACGGTTTACCAAAGATGGTGGCGGGTACTTTTACCCGCCAGCACGGAAAGCTGTGCTCACTGCCTTGGTCTGCGCTGCCACCCAGAAAGCATGCTGCCTGCTTGGAGATGTGGTCACTGCCATTGCCATCTCTCATACACACCAATAAATTGTTAGCAGAGTTATTTAAAAGCTGTGCGGTTTTTTGCCGCTTATGCTGAGTCAGGAATCTTCCCTTAAAGGAGCCACACGAATATCTGCTTGTCTCTAGCAAAGCAGAGTTCAACTGAGAAAAATGCTGTTACCAAGAAACCTTGCTTATCTCTGTTCTTTTGTTTCTAAAACCCTTTTTTAAGCTTTTGTTAAATTTTAAGTGGAAGTTCTTATTAGCCACGTGGGCGCCAACTGTAAGGAGTATGTTTTTTCCGCCCGCCGCCACTGGTCTTGTCCCGCCGCCACGCCGCCAGCCCCAAATAATACACAGAGACTCTGTATTTGATATTATCCTGTTGGCCAGTTACTTGTTTCTTATCGGCTAGCTCTGCCTTAATTATTAACCCATTTCTGCTGATCTATGTATTTCTCTTACCGGGGAGCCGGTGGCATACTGCTTTCTCCAGACTCTCCATCTTGACTCCTCCTTACTACTTCCTATTTCCTCCTTGTCTCCTAGTCCCTCCTATCTTCCTTTCCTATTGGCCAACAGTGCTTTATTATTAACCAGTATGAGAAACATATACAGAATGACATCTCCCATCAATAGTTTTTCATTTTGTCGTAATGGACTCTTCCAGGGTCACCAAATGTTTGTGTCTATAAAAAAAATACAGGCAATTTCAGATGCATGCTAATGTTGCTACATGACAAATCCTTGCAGGTGAAAGGCTGACTTACAAAATCTACATGAACTTCTAATTTTAATCAATACCTCTGAACTGTACTCCGAGAGGCAGAATTCATGTATACACATAGCACAGATTTATGAGAGTTTGTTTTTCTTCAATTCAGCATCCTTAGCACAGGGTGCCATCAAACTTTTTGATTATTCATCCATTTGGTCTGTGTAAGTACCTTTCTAACATCACTTTCTTAAGGTGACTTTGTTTCTTTTTACTTAACAGGAAAAATGAAAAAAAGAGAGAAGAAAATCCTTATGACTCTATGGACATTGGTAAAGGTGAAAGTAATGCAGGCTTCCAAAGCAATGATGATGCTCAGACTTCATTTTAGAGTCATTTTACTGTATGTAATTGCTAGTGTTATAGTACACAAAATATGAGATTATATACATGTCATTAGATATCAAAACTTTGGTCTATTCAGTAAAAGTTGTCCAAAGAGCATCTGACTTGAGTGGGCATCTTCACTGACATTGCTTTCAGTATTTATTTCTGCCTTAGGACTTGACATCTCTTCTGTTTATTAATGGAGATGTTTATATTAGGGCAAAAGAGTGAAACATGTCTTTGGCCTCCCAGTCTGTCCAGAGATAATGCAAATGGAGACACTGTTGGGTAACTGGAGTCAGAAGATGAAATGATGTATCTTGGGAGCAAGTGTTGGCTTTGGTATGCAATCTGTGCTGTGAACCTGGTGGAGTTGCTGAGGTTGAGAATGGTGCACGATGTTCACTGTAAATCAAGTGGGACAGACGGCGGGTGTCATGCTCTATGGCCTTGCATGAACTGACTTTAAGTACTGGAGTAATTTATTCACAGTAATACTTGAAATGGATTGTTCTTTCTGTCGTGGTCCAGCTTCAAAGGAGAAAGAAGCCGGACTTCAGGTAGAGGACGCCTTTTCTCTCACAAGCTGCTTGAGCAACATCTCCCTAGCAATACACAGCTAGCACAGGGAACTCTATGAGCCCAGAGCATGCAGACAGAAACTTGTTTCCATTATTCTCTAACTGTGCAGTGAAGGAAAATTCCAGCTGAATGCTCACCTGTGAAGTGGGTGCCCCGTCTCTAAAAATCTTTTGTATTAGCTCACAGGATCTAAGCAACGGTGAGCACAAAGCAGACCTCAATAAATACTTGCTAGATTTGCATACTCCTCTGCCCTTATGTGTGCTTATGTGTCTGTTATTTCTGGCTTTCGTTCTATGGACAGAGTTGTCATCTTGGACCAAGAAATTATAAAATCAGTTCAAAAGAGATGTGCTTAGATTGTGAACATTATCAGGTTAGGAACCAAAACCCCACCGTTTTTAAATATAACAATATTATGTACCTGAACACTGATTTAAAATTATATGAAATAAATTAATATGTCCGACATACTATGTGGTGACGAGCATAATGGTAGAGTGACTTGGTACTTAATAAATTTGATGTGATTGTGGTAATGGTGGTCCACCAATTCATCCAAATCAGGCTGAGTCATTTTAAAGTTATTTAGTAGCTTTGCATCTATATGATACATCGGTGGCAAAGACAGTGTCTTTGCATGACAGCTATGTCCCTTCCAATCAAAATGCCATATCATCATCTGCCTTACTATCTTGTTTCTGGGGCAACCAAAAATTGCATTTCTTCTCATTTACATTCTCATTTCATTGACACCTTTTATCTTGTGTATGCTCTGTCTCCTCTAATACAAGAAGGTCTTCTGCAAACTATTATCTAAACATCCCCTGTAATTGCAACATTCTCAGTCGGTCTCTTAGTGTAACACTGTGCAAAAAGAACCTTGATAAGAACCAGTTCCCTCATCCAACACCTTCAAAAGTCTTTCCATTCATAGTAAAAGACCCATGGGCACATGACACAATCTCCAGTTGTAACATGGAAATTAGAGAAACTGCTCTCACACCAACCGAATTTTTCCCCAGGTCAGTCCTCATTTTGCCTACCGGGTAAATGCTGTGGTCCTTCTCCTATGCAGTAGCATCCTCTGAGAGGATAGAGGCTGTACAAAGGTGGTCCTGTACTGGGATAAAAGATAGTTGTTGACCAGCTATGAACCATGAGCCAAATTATGCCCATCCCCTTGAGTTAAAAAATTTGTATTATATATTTCAGTTGTTCGGATAAAAGTAGAATAATATTTCATGGTAAATGAAGATGATATGAAATTCAAATTTTGTTGCCCATAAATGAAGCTTTATTGGTACAAAGCCATGCCCATCAATTTTCATATTATGTAGGGCTGCTTTTGTGCTACAAAGCTGAACTGAGGAGGTGACTTGGAGAAGCTCTGGCCCACAAGGCTTTTTACAGGCAAACATTGCTGAGCCATGGGCTATAAGGAAGCAAGGGTGTATATGTAAAAGAGCAGTTGTAGTTCAGAGATCCAAAGGGTATTTGTTTATGGAAGCTCGTGTCTTTCTTTCCTGGGAACTCAATTATTTAATAGGCAGTGGAGTTAATAAAAGAGTAATTGGGTCAGAAAGAGCAGGCGCCAGTTTGTTCTCATCTGGTGTTTCTCAGTGATGTACTCTCCCTCATCTGAGATCCACTTGTTCCTCTTTAGGTAAAGACAGGGCCTTGAGCTTAGGGATAGTTGCAGAATAGGGGGACGGAAGATTGTAAGAGCCAGAAGAACAGGGAATTTTCAGTGAGATTTTGTGCTTGTAAGAAAGATCAGAAGATAATGAAGTCTCGCCAACATGGCTGCCTAAACATGACCTGAGCAAGGACACCACCACTGCTAATATGGGAAGGGAAAAGCTCATGAAGCCTCAGCCCTAGAAAAAGAGCTCTAGATGACTAAGGGATACTGAGAGCAGAAGAAATAATAGTCTTCCCCAGAGAAGATGACACAATCTAGTTATCCAATACCAAATGGTCAATCTGGAAAACATATATACAAGCCAAATAATACAGACTGGACAGGTTGTATTTTTATATTTAGGAACACACACATAACAACAACAAAAATTGTTATGTTGCTTCTCGGAGAGTGTGGATATACTGCAGGTGGAAGAGCATAAAAGTAATTGCTGCACAACACACTTAAGCAGCATTTTAAAACATGTATGCTTTCAAACAGCACAAATATTCTTCCCCTGGCTCTGGCTGTCATCAGTGTACCAATTTTCTCACAGATCTCCAGCAGTGACACATAAAATAAAATAATCTTATATTTTAAAAAAGAGCCTGTGGTACAGGTTCCTGCTGGACAAAACTCCAGAGGGCAGGAACAGCCACCTGGGCAGATTGAGATGAAGGTTTTAATCCCTTGAGTAGAAAGGAACCTGACACACAGAAAACAGTAAATAAAGGAATTAATGTATAAATGCCCTAGTGGTTACTTTAAAAGTGACATTTCATTATTCATTCATTATACATTGAAATTTGTATGCCTCCATTAAAAATAGAATGCCATTATCCTGTCAATTCTCTGCTGAAATAACAAAATCATTAAGCAAATGTCAAGACACAAATAAGCAAGGGAGACATTTGAGCTCACTGGCAGGAAAAAATTGGGTGGTATGAGTAAAAGCAAGAATATCAGTGGTTAAGAGCACTGGCTGCTCATCTAGAGGACTGAGATTTGATTCACAGCACCTGTATGGTGGCTCGTCTGTAACTGTGATTCTAGATGATCAAACTCCTTCTTCTGGCCTCCATTGGTACTATACACATACATGCACAGACAATAAAAATTTTAAAATCTCTTTTGTATCTGTGTTAAGATATAAGATGTAAGTAGAAACTTCAATTATCTTTCAAATGAGCCAAATGTCCCAAAGCCCCCAACTTAAGTATATATCATTAGAAAGTAAGATGATTTTAACTCTAGTAAGACAATTGTCTTAACTTATTGAGTGGTGATTAATAATGGTGGAGGTTAATGTGAGGAAAGAAGGCATTACATTCTACCACAGCATCATTCATAATAAACTGTACTCAGTGTGAAACATGGAACACATTGTTCAATACTATTATTTTATATCACTGTAATGATGACGTGAAGTACCATTCATTGTTTCAGTCTGGAGGAGAAACTGTATCATTCAGATGGAGTTATAGACCTGATATCAGTGCCCTGCCACATAATGAGGTACCCCAGGGTGGTTCAGCACTCATGGATGCTTGGGAAGAATATCAACTCACAGTCTGCACTATAAGGTGGTTCCTAAAAATTTGTGTTTTAATCAATTCTCCATTTGACTCTCAAACATGTTTAATGTTGAGATCGTTTATATATTGTATTAGTTGCTTTTCTGTTCTGTAATAAAAGACTATGACCATGGCAACTTAGAGAAGAAAAACTTTATTTTGGCATACACTTCTAGAGGGTTAGAGTTCATAATGGCAGGACAGAGGCAGCTTGCCGGATGGTAGGTAGAGCAGGATGCTGAGCTCTCACATCCTTCATGGTTCTTTTTAAATGTGTATAGGTGTTTTGCCTGCATATATGTTGGTGTACCACATGTGTACCTGGTGCCCATGAAGGCCAAGAGAGGGCATCAGATACCCTAGAACTGGAGTTACAGATGGTTGTAAGCCACCATGTAGGTGCTGGGAATTGAACAGCCAGTGCTCTTAACAACTGATCAATCTCTTTAGCTTTTAAGAGCTCATATCTTGAACTGCAAGAGAGAAGCAGAGAGAGCAAACTACAAATAAAGCCGGCCCCCATTGACATAATTGCTCTATCAAGGCCACACCTCCTACACAGTCCCTAAACAATGCCACAAACTGGAAACCAAATATTCAAATACACAAGATATTTCTCATATAGAGGCAAATATACACACATTTCTCTTCTGGAAATGGTATTTAATTATCACACTAGTGCCAATAGAAAGAAAGGTGAGTTCTCAAGAAATCATCTTTTCAGTTCTGCTCAATCTTTACATACAGTACACACCCTTCAGAAATTGCAATCTAAAAATGAGTTTCTGCCATAGGCTTGGAAGTAGTACATTAAAAAGCAGCACAAACAAAATTAACAATTTGACCTAAATTTTAAAGAAATGTCTTGCTTCCTACCTTGTTGTTTTGTAGATAATATAACAGGTAAATAACACGTAAAACATTATTAAGAACTAACTAAATTACTTTGTGTCTTTCTACTTCCCTTGAAAAGAATGAGAGTGTTGGTCAATGTTTAGATTCATTCCCATCAATATTTCAAATTTTCTCTTCATGGCTTATCTTGCTCCCGAAGTGGTTCGATGGCAGACAGGAGTTGCTGAAATGTGGGGCGTTTTTCTGGAAGCTAAATAAAAGAAACCCCCAATGTGTTAGATGATGAAAGTCATAATTCAAAAGGACACTATAGAGGTTGGGTCTGTGACACAGTTGGTAAGGTACTTGCCTAGAATTTAGAACAGCCTGGCTTCAGTTCTCCATACCACATTAACTAGGTGTGGTGGCACACATGTGTAAAC